ACATGTGGCGATTAATCCACATGCACAGAATAAATTCGGCAACAGATGGAGATTTCAGTGGAACGGTAATATCTTATAACTTTGGCTCTTGTCTTTAGTTCCATTTCGCCATTTCGTGTTTTAAACACGCCCACCAGTCAGGGAAGTGTGGCACGTGCAGCCGACCGGTTCAACGGGGCTGTTGAGGTATAAAATAACCAACCGTCCGAATATCGTGTGATTCGCTCGTTATTTGTACCTACCTAAGCGAAGTGGATAATAAACTAACATTACAATCCAATGAAAGGGAATGCTAAGAGTACCTGGAACGCTAACGAAATAATCGAAAGAAGGAGAATCCCAAAAACGTGCGAAATACTACTTAGAAAGAAAATCCCCAAAGTGCTGTAGATATTAAGGTAACAATCGAATGAAAGAGAATCATGAAAGTCCTCCTGAATAAATGTAACAATCTACTGAAAGCAAGAGATTATGAACGAAAGAAAATCCTAAAAAAGCACGAGATAAAAAGGTAGCGATCTTGGCAACGGAGTAGAATCCTAAAAGTACGCGAGGTATCAACGTACAATCCAAATATCCAAATCTAACTGTCATCTCTAAACAGTGCTCGTGACTCGACTGAGTTCCAGCGGCCTTTTTTTATTTTTCTAAGAATAATCTCTCAAGTGATATTTATTCTGTTTCTCTACCATAATGTTAGTACTTTGAGTTCAAATGTCCCCAACACATTGTACAAGAAATTGTTCGGATTAACAGCCTCCAGGAACTTTCTTTGGCGTTGAGCTAAGTTAGCGACTTGATCCATAAAGGCAATCTACAGAAACCAAAACAGAGTCAGTCAGGAACGTCTTTATTTTCCTCGTTTTTGATGTGTGAGAGATTTAAATACAGTTAGAAGAAACGTAAGAAATGTAGTCTAATAGGACCATGAACTCAAATTCTTCAGGCTTTTTCAGTATAACAATGCGGTTTTATTGTACGATACACTGAAGAAGAACTCAGTTTGTAGTCAAACAATTAGTCTGGCCTGACCTTGAGGTCCACCTGTTAAATAACAGGATCCCACGTTCAGAAATTCCGCTCTATTGTTTTGTTTCTACACTGCGCCACGGCTTACGGTATTTTGCGAAACGAAACTAAACGAAACATTAATCGATAAGGAAATTACCGTTCACCGAGTTAACGATACCACTAAGATTTATTCCTTCTCTTCGAAACCTGTCCGCTAGATGCCTTGTTTCGCAAAATTTTATTTATTTTTATTTATTGCAATTTAATGGCAGAAATACACGGGTGCAGGTATGATACAGTTAGTCAATTTAACAAAAAAATGCCATAAGGAGAATCTGCAAAAGAGTCCCAGACCCCATGTAACAGCAGATCACCCAATACATATAGTACGAATGAGATACTAACTTATAATAAAGAAAAATAAAATTATGATTTACCCATAAAATTCTTCACTTTAAATTTAAAATTCCCAGTACAATTTGCAGTGCGAATGTCAACAGGCAACATATTCAAAGAATCTGCTATTCGATGGAAATAGGAATATTTAAGGGAATTAGTCCTTGTATATTTTTTCTTTAACATCCGACGATCATGTCTAAAGGAATAATAATCTAAACTAGAGGAAAAATCCACAAAAGGTGAAACATCAATGTCAACAAACCCTTTCAGTGCCTTAAAAAAGAAAGTAACGTCAATTAAAACTCCTCTGTCTTCCAAAGATAATAGATTTAACTTCTCAAGACGAGCTGCATAGCTATCCTTAGTTTTCAAAATAAATTTAGTGGCGCGTCTCTGGACTCCCTCAAGCTTATCAATGTTCTTACGGGAATATGGGGACCATACCTCAGAGCAGTATTCAAGGTTAGATCTTACTAAGGAACAGTAAAGGGTCCTTAGAGTCTTCAAATCATTTAGTCCTGTACAGGTTCTTTTAATCAGTTCCAATGTCCTATTTGCCTTGGCAACAACACAGTTCACATTGGAGTTCCACTTTAGGTGATGGTCAGTGATGACACCAAGATCCTTGAATTCCTCAACCTCCTCCAACTCAGTNCCATGTAACAGTAGGTCACCCAATACATATATAGTACGAATGAGATACTATGTTATAACTGAATAAAAAAAAATTAATTATGATTTACCTATAAGAAAATTCTTCACTTTAAATTTAAAATTCCCGGTACAATTTACAGTGCGAATGTCAACAGGCAACATATTCCAAGAATCTGCTATTCGATGGAAATAGGAATATTTAAGGGAATTAGTCCTTGCATATCTTTTCTTTAACATCAGATGATCATAATGTCGTAAGGAATAATAATCTAAACTAGAGTAAAAATACACGAAAGGTGAAACATCAATGTTAACAAACCCTTTCAGTGCCTTAAAAAAGAAAGTAACGGCAATTAAAACTCTTCTGTCTTCCAAAGATAATAGATTTAACTTCTCAAGACGAGCTGCATAGCTATCCTTAGTTTTCAAAATAAATTTAGTGGCGCGTCTCTGGACTCCCTCAAGCTTATCAATGTTCTTACGGGAATATGGGGACCATACCTCAGAGCAGTATTCAAGGTTAGATCTTACTAAGGAACAGTAAAGGGTCCTTAGAGTCTTCAAATCATTTAGTCCTGTACAGGTTCTTTTAATCAGTTCCAATGTCCTATTTGCCTTGGCAACAACACAGTTCACATTGGAGTTCCACTTTAGGTGATGGTCAGTGATGACACCAAGATCCTTGAATTCCTCAACCTCCTCCAACTCAGTGTTGTTTAAGAAGAGAGTCGAGGTGAATGGTTGTTTCTTCCGAGTTATTCTCATGATTTTGCACTTCTTTACATTAAACTCCATACCGTTCAGCGTACTCCATCTTTCAAGGTTCTCAAGATCTTGCTAAAATATTTCGATGTCATCAGCAGAGTCGATGATTCTTGAGCTTTTGCAGTAATCGGCATACAGTGCAATGCTGTTACCAAGGATTACTACCCTAGGCAGGTCACTTATAAAGATAATGAAGAATAGAGGTCCCAACAGGGAATCCTGAGGGACCCAGAGCAAACCTCCGACCAGGATGAAAATACACCATCAATTAACAACCTCTGCCTTCTATCAGTGAAGTAACTCTCACACCAACGAAGAAGAGATCCAGAAACCCCAAAGCTGCATAACTTCTTTAACAATACTGAGTGAGACACCCCATCAAAAGCCTTGGAAAAATCCAAAAAGGCAACATTCACTTGACAGCCGTCATCAAGAGCCTTGGCCCAGTGATAATGGGTCAAGATCAATTGAGTCGCACATGACGTACCCTTGACAAAGCCATGCTGCCATTCGGTTGAATAGGGAAAAATATGATAATATATAGCGTCATATACAAATCTCTCTAAACATTTTGCAGGAATTGGTAGTAGTGAGATGGATCTATAATTTTCCACCAATTCCTTTTTGTCACCTTTATGCACTGGAGTAATGTTAGCCGATTTCCATAACTTTGGCATTACACCAGATCTCAATGATAAATTAAATAAGTGCGCCAAGGGTGTTGACAGTTCCTCTGCAAATACCAATAACGGCCGATTGGTAATCGACGAAACAAGGTTCGCAGACAATTTCTTTAGGCGCTCTGCTCCCGAAAATGGAAAATGATCTTGTTAGATAAAGCAAATACTGACATAATAACACACGATCAACCAACAATAAATAATCGATTTCTACTGTATTTCGTAGTACGAAAACGAAGACCCTGCATTAGCCCAAAGAATTTCTTATTTTTTAACGAGAATTTTCCAGCAGAGAAAGCTTAACGACCGTCAGAATCTATTTTAGCTACGAAATACAGTAGAAATCGATTATTTATTGACAGAACCCAAGAGTCATTTCTCCTATACAGAACGCTTTCTCTGTTATTCTGTCACGCAATGCTAACTATAAATTAAAGGCGGCTGGCGATGGAATTCTGCCTGCTGTTCCAGAATAATAATATGTGTGGTAAGTTTACCCGAGGAAACCCTCCAGAATATGAACACCAAATTGGCTCGCATAGCGAAACAGAACAGACAAGACGGGCCGTATAATAATACGGGCAGTATGATATTACGGGCAGTATAATAATAGGAAGAAACGCGTGAAGTGTAATGTATTATATTACTAAGCGTTGTTACTGTTTAATGTGCGTTTAACTTGTAATTTCTACGGTTTTCTGTTTACAGGGTCTTCGTTTTCGTATTACTACGAAAACGAAGACCGGGTCTTAGTTAGGTCTTAGGTCTTAGGTCTTCGTTTTCGAAGGTCTTCGTTTTCGTAACTATGGTAACACCCGTGTTTTGAACTATGGCACGGCATAGCAACTTTGGATAAGTCAGTAAGTTAAATTTATTGTCAGTTAAATCAAACCTTTCATGGAAGAAGTTTAACATTCTTGGAAGTATCTTGTCACCTGTCAATTGAGGTTCCCAGAATCTCAAGCGAAGTTCTTCTTTGCGTGAAGCAAAAAAAACAACATTGCATATGTAATATAACAGGAATACAAACTTGAGAGGGGACAGGGAAGGAGATCTGAGTGACAGCCAAGCTTGCTTGCGATAACCTGGTAGTTATTTTTTGTTCCCATATGCCACTTTTTCCAGCTGAGAACATCTTATTTACTTGGTGATCGACAAAACACTTGTTTACTTCACTTCAGCCAGCTTTCTTGGGAAGTAACAACTTTGTCTCACCACATAACACAACCTGAAGCATATAAATTACAAAAAATAAAGCAGTACGAAAAAAACACGTGCACCTTGTAAAATGGTGTCACTATATTACATGCAGATACTATTTTGTATAGAATCGCAAAATTGAAGAAGATCTCACATTCTGATTGGTTAAACTAGGCTAAGTGATATTGTCTAACATATCTTGTTTCATGCTCAGGATAAAAACAAACAATATTGTTGTTGTTTTCTTTTTTTCTTACTTTTATTCAATTATGTGATTCTAAGAAAATCCATGAAACTCCATTTGCAATTCCCTCGTCAAGAATAACATAGTAACCTAGTCATCTATGTAAAATGGTAAGAGGAAATGATAGAGTTCAATTCAGTCCCTAGTCATTGATTGATTAATAACAGCATTAGATGAAAGCAAAGTGAGAGTCTGATGTGTCAATCATAAGTAAGTGGAAGAGAATTGTCTAAAGTAAAAAGTTTCTCCATTTTGGAAACTCTTACGTTTTGTAGAGCAAGTGGTTGTTACTATGGTTATTACAATCAATTTTGTGATTGGTGGATTTAGCTCAGTGGATTTAGTACAATTAGTTGCTTTAACTGTCCAATTACAAGTTTCCAATTACAGCCAACTGTCTGATTGCATTGTCTGATTACAACTCTACAAAAAAGTTTTTAACCAATCACATTTAAGGAAAGTGGTGAGTTGGTCTGTGGCAGATATAATTCTACATCAATCACTTACTTTCCTCCTTTGAACTGCTGTGCAGATCACATCACAAATCATGATAGCATGCCTTAATCTGGTAACCCTAATGTGAGTCAAAACCTCTTCCCCTGGAAATACTAGGAAAATGAAATGTTAGTCAGGAGTCCTTCATACCACAGCCTTGATTTCTATTGGTTCAAATATGATTCTTATTAGCTAATAAGCAATCACATGCCCTTGCATAAGTTTAAAATATATCCTTACAGTGTAGTGATAAACATTGGGCTGAATGTGAACAGTGGTTAGGACCTGTCCAGAATCAGATAAAGGCCAATGATGCCATTATGCTTTTGTGGCTAAATTGTCAACTAAATCAGCCAGATGAAAGCCCTGAAACCACCCAGAGTTTAACTAGTACACACTCTTTCCTACCTTCTTTTCAAAAGAATTAACAGAAATTTTAAGCAGCATAATTTTGAGAATATATTGAAAATAACTGGGAAACATTTAACCCTTTAACCCTGAGGAGTGACTTGCTTCTAATCTCGCCTTACAGTATCACCCTTCAATCAAATGTGAAGGTTATGAGAATAAAGGAAATAATCATTAATTTAGGAAGCTCCTGATTTTCAAACAAATTCTCCTTGTCAATACCAATGTTGGGTTGAGCTGCTAGGTTTGTTCTATTTTGTATTTTGAAAAGGAAAATTTATAATGCAGTTGTTTTCCAAGTATGTATGCTTCAAATAAAATTTGTCTCAAGAAACATCAAGACTTGAGAAAACAGACAACTGTTTCTCTAAGAACCAGACTCTGAGTGTGTTTTGAGAACATATTTACCACAGGTATCAAATATGAATTTTAAGTAGGCATTTCTTATGGTATGTAGATATTATGTTATGATGTGTTGTGTTTGATGAATTTGTGAACATGCACTAGTTTTTACTCACAAGGGGCTGGATAGTTCAGAGATTGTGACACAACCATGCATCCAGGACCTGGGAGCTTGGTGCCGTGGACAGCTGAAACTATTCTACAATAAAAGTGAACTTTTGTTAACTATTATTTGTTTGGACAGTGTATGTCAAGGTATCAATACAGAAACCAGGTTTGGGGTGGGGGGAAGAAGAAGTTCAACCTTGTGATTCTCCCTAAGAACAAGCTGATCCTTCAAAATAAGATGTAAAGTAGGGGTAAATTTCATACCTTTGAATAGGAAATTTGAAAAAAAGAAAGAAAAATGGAAAAAACCCTACACCAGATTTCATTCAAGGAGGAAACGGCGAATTTTCTTTTTTAATTCTTAAGATATCGAACAGTAAAATAAGGAACTTGATAGTGATAAGATCACGATACCCGTTGAGTATAACCCCATGTACTACAAGTTGTCCAAGTTCGGTTTTCTTTGCAAAATGTTCATCCAAATGGATAGGGTTTGTGTCACCCGTCAGTTGGGCAAATGTGGTCACATCTTCTACAGTAACAGTCCGACGCACTTTCACCTCGTCACCAACTTTAAACTGCGTCGTAGAGTTGTCGGTAAAGTATCGAGTGATTGTAGAGAAATTATTTCGCCGTGAAATCAACATCTTTGCGAGTGACCTCGCCATCACCAGAGCATCACCATCAACTACTTGATCTGCCAGGCGTTCTCCTAGTCTTGTCCCAGTCTCTGCAGGTCTGATTAAAGACGACGTTGACGCTCTCTCACCGGGAGTGGGTGGAATGAGGGGGGTATGGAGTGAAATTTGAAAACGTGTTCGGCTTAGAGAAATTACAGAGAAATGGCTACGAATTCGATCGAGAATCTTCACAGTTTAGAAAAGGCCTTCTTGGAAAGGAACGAAGAGAAGATAAATACGTTAATTGATTCTTTAGGGCAAAGTATTTCTGAATTAGGTGAGATAACGATATGACTATCTCTGTGAGTTCGAAAACAAACGTAATTGAAGTTTTATGAATGTGCAGTGCTTGTTAATGTCCTGTTGTTGTTGCTGATGAAATTCCAGATGATTTGGAGGAGTTGAGGGTCATTGTTGCATGTATATGTAGAGGAGAATATTTGAAGGCATTGCAACAGAAAACTGCACAAAGCCTGCTACATAATGCAGCAGTTACTGCAGGTAAGAGGATTTTACAAAAAAAAAGTATACTTTATATATTTCATACGACTTGGTTGACTGTTGATCAGCAGATATGTGGTAACCTAGTTTCTCAATAAGAAAACGAATTTCAACCATTTTACGAACTGATCATCATTTTAACAGAGGAGGGTTATTGTGCATGGGGAAAGAGTCTTTACTTTTTCTGTAGGAATGTGGGTTACCAATACAAATTCATGCATGGTTATTAAGTTGTGGATGATTATATAATGGAGGGGGGAAATTAAGGGGTAAGAAATAATGGGAATATATATAATGACATAATATGTGACTATCACGGTCTTTTTATTGTGAGACTTAATGCCACTATCCCGGTCGGTGGGATTATATCATTTATTACCTCCATTTTGAAATCAAGTCCTGTATTTGGGTAATTTCAAAATGGATTTAATAGAGTGGTAATTGAACCTTGTGTCATGCAATTTTGGTCTGAAATCATACTTGTAATTTCAAATCAAACTTGCGCTGCGTGCTCGTTCAATTTTGAAATCACGCGTGTGATTTCAACCCAAATTGCACTCCACTCAGTGCAATTACCATAATGATTATAAATTAAATAGTAACTAAATATTTTTAATAATAATAATTTAATATATGTATATAATATATATATTTGGATATGTTCTTATTGTGCAATTTTACGCCGTTAGTTAACGGCATAAAATCTACCATTATATAAACTACCTGTTAAAGGAAATTACGTTGTTAGTTAACAGCGTAAAATCTCCCACTATGTAGAACACTGACTGAACAAAATTACACCATTAGTTAATGGGGTAAAATCTCTTATATATATTGGGAGATTTTACGCCGTTAACTAACGGTGTAATTTTGGTTCAGTCTGTATATATATTGGGAGATTTTATGCCATTAACTAACAGCATAATTTTGTTCACTCTATTATTTATATATTACTCTGTTATTTATAATTACATCATTAACTAATGGTGTAATTTTGGTTCAGTCTGTATATATTATTATTGGGAGATTTTATGCCATTAACTAACAGCGTAATTTTGTTCACTCTGTTATTTATATATTGGGAGATTTTATGGCTGTCAACTAACGGCGTAACTCTCGTTCAGCCTGTTATATATATTGGAAGATTTTACGCGATTAACTAACGGCGTAATTTCGTTCAGTCTGTTCTATATATTGGGAGATTTTATGCCATTAACTAACAGCATAGTTTCGTTCAGTCTGTTTTATATATTGAGAGATTTTATGCCATTAACTAACTGCATAGTTTTGTTTAGTTTGTTATATTTATTGGGAGATTTTACGCTGTTAACTAACAGCGTAATTTCGTTGATTCCGTACTAGGTCTATTGTATGATTTTATGCCATTAACTAACGGCGTTATTTCTTTTAATAAGTAATTGCAAGATTTCACGTCATTAACTAATGGCGTTATTTCTTTTAATAAGTAATTGCAAGATTTTATGCGGTTATTTCTTTTACTAAGTATTTGTGTTATATATAGTAGTTAATGTATTTAGTAGATGATTTTACACCGTTAACTAACGGCATTAAATCGTACAATATACAGACCGAGGTAGTGGTGTTAAATCTCACAATATACGGACCGAAGTAATCGCATAATTCGCCGTTATTTGATACGCCAGAAATCATTGTTTCTCACTAAGGGAAAAATCTGGAAAATTTTAAACAACCCTCTCCATGATCCAAATAATAACTGATTCCTCATACACCTAGTAGTTTTTTTCTTTTCTTCAGAAGGACTTCTGTTAGATTCAAATTAATTTGATAATATTTTCAGAAAGTTCGGGCTGTTGGCTTTTACGGCTGACTCAGAGTGTTGCCTCAACTTATATGCTAGTAGCATCACATAACTGCACCAGTCCCACTGAATGAGTTCACAACAGAGTGCATAATACTCTATTAACTTGATTAAGTTACTGCCCATGCATAAGGGCTGTCCTTAATTCAGTACCACAGATTGAGGCAGAGTATAAAATGATTATAGGAGCTATCTTTGAGTTATGCTACTGACTCAATTAGAAGGTTGTGGGGTTTATTTGTGGATTGTAGGAAAAAAATTAAGTTGAAACATATGCTACATCTCGTAGTGCACCACCTTTGTTGCACATGTCACAATCCACAAGTTTAACTTGCTGTCTCAACAAGAAAACGAGTCATTAGAACTTAAAACATAGTCCTGTTTTAGCTAAACATGTATTTACCAATGATTTTTCATGATATTATGGTCAATGACAGTCTGCGGTCTACAGTCTGCCCTCCTGTTTCATTCTGTGTATAAGCCACATGGCAAACTAGATTTCTTTTAGGATTGTTCGTCTATCTATTATAATTATACATATAGATATTCATTTTCTATAGAATTCTTTTTTTTTTTTTAATTTTCCTCTCTTGTGCCCGCCTCGAATAGTCCTAGCTACTTGTGGGCCCAAACATTGTAATTTTCTTATTAAGCTTAAATAAAATTGGTTGTTGTTGGAATAAGATTTTGAAAGAAATGGTACCCTTGCATTTTTTTGTTATTGGCTAAATACAGTAATTGATAATTGCATACTAGTGGTTACAAAACTGAAGATTACAAGTTTATATTACAGGACTGAGTTTAGTCCGATTGGGTCTGTAATCATAGGAGTGATAACAAAATTGCAGGAGTCGGATTGTGAATCTTGAGTATAATTTCAAATAGAATTGGATGACTGTTACCAGTTATACAAAACAATGACAAAATTGGAGAAATAATTTTAATTAGCCATCCCTACTAATTTTCCATGTGAAAAACAACAATAGTGAACTGAGCAAAATGCATGGCAACAGCATGGGCACATGACAAATATTATTTAATTTCACAAGCATGATGCATCAACTTTCCTATTACACTGTCCAATTGCATGATATGTTCGCTGTCCTATCAATGCCCAAATTGCACTAGATAATTTTATTTAGTTTTGATTAGGTTAGATACATGTATAAGGTTAGAATATAGTTTAGGAGTTTATAAAGTTATATGGGAAAGGTTCAAGACCATAAACACTATTTTATCATTTTACAACCAGAAAATAAGCAGCTGATCCAGGAGACCTCTCTACTGTTACAAGAGGACTCACTTATAAGGTTAGTGATGTTTAACAGTTCTCTAAGTTGCAACTGTTTTGGTTGCTGTGACTTAAATATTACTGATTGAAGATAAATGGGGTCTTTGCAGTATTGAGCACTACTTATTTACAAGCAGAAGTGAAAATAAAGCCTGAAAAAATTCAGGCTTATATAGGAGTTGAATCCATGACCTCTGCAATACTGGTACAGAGCTCTACAAACTGAGCTAACAAGCCAACTGGGAGCTGCTCATTTTGTTGGTTTTGTAATAAACCTGTGTAGTGATGAAGGAACAACTGTGAATATAAGAATTTCTTATAATTGAACTGCAGATAAATGACAATTAACAAATGTTCATTGTTTTCAAATCAATTATTCTCCAGCATATATTATATGCACATAACATTTTGAGCCCCACAAGCTCTGTCTCAATCAAAATGGAATGGAAAAAGAATCTTTAAAGTTTACAAACTTGCTGCCTGACTAGAGGGGAACTTTAAAGTAAGGTACAGCCGCAGCACCATATAAACTAATGTTTTGAGGTGTGATGTAACACATCAACATGTGAGCTGTTGTCATTAGGTACGACATAATTGAATAGACCATTCCAGAAAACCTCTCACTTTCTGATTCAGAAAAATCCGTCCTCAGTAAGGGCTTAAATTTCGTTCCCATTTCTAAAACAACGGACGAATTCTCAATTAAAGAAGACGTAGAAAAATTCCTTTGCCGCGTTCAATTAAAAGCCTTTTTTCACAACAAAGAGGATGATTCTAACACCTCGAACAAAGACACTTTCGAAACACTTCAGACTCGAAAGTCTAAATGGACTCCCCCAGAGGGCCAATTCGCATCATTAGACTTTTTTATCAAAAAATGCCGCCACGATATCAACAAACTCAATTTCAAACGTATTACCAAATTTTCTAATCTCTCTTCTGAAGAGTGGTCGGCTCTAAAAAGTCTTAGAAAACGCAAAGACATAGTTATCAAAGCGGCCGATAAGGGCGGCTCAGTCGTTGTTTGGCGCACCGACCTCTACCAAAAAGAAGCTTTGCGGCAACTTTCTGACACCTCTTTTTATCAAAAGATCGACAAAGACCTCACTGCCAGCAATCAAAACTCCGTCAAGAATACGATCAACCAACTCATAACTAAACCAGAATTGCTGGCCACAGCAAAAAATCTCATCATAACCACTCCTAGAACTTCTCGTATTTACTTTTTACCTAAAATTCACAAACCTAACAACCCGGGTCGGCCCATTGTCTCGGCTTGCAGTTGCCCTACCGAACTTATCTCCAGCTATCTAGACAAAATTATGGCTCCCATCGTCAAAACTTTACCATCATATATTAAAGACAGCCAACACGCTCTTCAAATTTTTCGAGACTTTAATTTCCTTGGCCAAAACAAACTTCTTTTCACCATGGATATTACGTCTCTTTACACTGTCATTCCTAATGGCGAAGGCCTTCTGGCCCTTAAACATTTTTTTGATCAACGTACTGTTAAGGAACCTAAATCTGAAACACTACTACGCTTAGCCGAACTAGTGCTCACACTCAATTGTTTTTCATTCGGAAACAACTTCTTCAAACAAACCAATGGTGTAGCCATGGGCACCAAAATGGGACCTAGCTATGCCAATCTTTTTGTAGGTTTTGTCGAACATCAATTTTTCAGCCAATACAACGGGTCCAAACCTGAACTCTACGGTCGCTACATCGACGACTGTATCGGCGCTACCTCCTCTACCAGAGAGGAGCTCACTCAATTCATAACCGCAGTCAATTCTTTTCACCCGGCTCTGAAATATAC